CATGGTACATACTGACTGGGTCGTCAGTAAACCCGCAGAAAGCTCGAAAATCGTTATAGAACCATTAATTTTTAGTGAAAAAAGCATAAAAATTGAGGTCTGGGACACACTTAGAAGGTGTCTGGTGGCTCGGCCGAGCTGCAAAGGTTGTCTTTAGTGCCAGAGGTGACCGCCCGACCATGCAAAAGCCACCCCGACGGTTCAAGATGTTATCAGGGGCTTAAAAGTCTCAAAAAGGACAAAAACTCCGCTTTTTCGCATAAAACGTCCGGTAGGGAGTTGAAGTCGTTGTCCAATCGCAAAAACGAGGTCATTTCTGGAATCAGCACAAAAAAACGAAACTTTTTGGTGGTATCCAAAAGTCGAAATCGAAAGTGCTGCCAGATCGACGCCCCCTACTACTCACTCGTAGGTACTGGCAGTGGTGCTCTGCTGACAGCTCCGTAGTCTGGAACAGGCGAGAACAGTCGTTCATTAGGCCCAAAAAGCGTTTTCGGTCAACATTGACCGCGGTTCATTAAAGTTAAGTAATAGTCGAGCTTGGGGCGCCTGTGAGGGAGGCAACCCACCGACAGCTGTGCTGAGCTGGCCTCTGTTTGCCTAATCTCCAGGCGCTTACCGCTCGCTTCAAGCCGCCCGGCGCCACTCACCTGGCAGCACGCTGACGGGGCCGCCTAGACTTCTTCTCTCGGGCAGATCGTCGTCTTCGAACCCAACGTCGTCCGCAAACGCATTATTGTAGGCTGTTTCGACAGAAAACAGAGAACACTGTCAAAAATAATTTAGTGGTCTCAAATAGAACAAGAGCTACCATTTTCCTTAATGTTGAGATTAGATGAAACACAACTTATCTGAACTGTTTGGACGGTGATACTGTTACGGAACATCTGACCAAAGACTCGCCGTCAAACCAAAACACTCTAAAGATACTAAATATTATTACATTCAGCAGTTATAGTGGATGTATGCACCACCGACCACCCTCAAGAGACATGCTACCTACCTAGAAAAGTCATTTAGTGTCAGAAAATATTCCTCAAGTGCGAGTGGTTCGAATGACTCGTTTTACTGGCAAATATGCATTTGCGCTTTTGTCACGCCATGTAGTTGAGGAGCTGCTTATCAGGGGACTAAGTTTGTTTGCAGCTGGGTCGAGCTGGGCCACTTGTCCGACCCAAGAAGAATAGCCAACTTACTGGACATCTTCTGGATTCTGTGAACTGCACCCTGTAAGTCCATGACTCATCCATACGGGTCTGCCACTCCAATGATCCGTGCAAACTTATTTCGAAACTAATTTGTTTGTAAAGGATTTAACAGTGTGCTGCTAGTACTATAGGTAGGTACCCCAGAGTTACAGTGTATGCACCGGATGTTTCTTTCACGCGCCGGTGTATGCGGATTTGCCTATTTCCATTGTGCCATTGAGTTGTCAGTTCTGTGTGCGAGGAGCAAACTTCCCTCTAATAGTACCGTTTCGTCGTCGTATCATATCGCCGGTCACGTTATCTTTGGACGAGGTATTTCACCTTGTATGATCCGTTTACTATCTGCTCTACGCCGAAGACGAAGGACAGCACACTGTATGCAATCGTCATAGATCAAAGGGGCGTAACTGTCAGAAACCCCTGGACACCTGGGGAAAACCGAAACGCGGGTGTTTTCAGAACACGGTTTGAATGCGCCTAGTGCTTATAGTATCCTACATGCATTTCACTATTCGAACAGGTGTCTCGTGTCTTGCAATGCGGGGAAGTGTCACGTAGATGAAAACTATGAAGAAATCAATGTGAACAGCTCCACTACGGGGTATTCTCAAGAAATCTCGCTATCTTTTGGATATCGTTGGATAATGGAAAAGTACCTGACCTTGACAATAATAACTGTTTGTTCAATGCTTTCTTTTATTGGGGAGGGAGACATTAAAGCATTAAAATATTGCAATCCTTCGTCAATACGTCATATACGCCGACTGCTGACTGCTGGAAAATATTTGATGATGACAAGTGATGGGGATGGTGGCGCCGTGTTCTGTTCAGTTTCTCATACCTCCTGGGTAGGACTGCGAGAGCTGGTCGCGCTGGTCGCGCTGGTCGCGCAACGGGTCTCTCAGCGGTTGGTCGCGGACGGGCGACCCCCCGGGGAGCGGCACGTCGTCAAACAGCACGTGGTCATTGGCGGCGTCCTGGCGGAACTCGTACTGCTGCGAGCGGTCGGCCATGCCGCCGGCCGGCTGGAGGTCGCCTCCCCTGAGGATTCCCAGTTCCAGGTCGTGGCTGTCGACGCGAATCATGGGGTCATGATGCGGAAACGCGAGCAGGCCGGGCGCGGCGCGGACATGCGCGGGAACTCGTCTCGGGCCGATGACTGGGCGGCCCCGGCCCCGGCGGCGCGGACACCGTCGTTATCAGGTGGGTGATAAGGCTCGGCTCTGCACAGCCACACCTTGTCCCCCTCCCGTCCTCTCCCCTGACCTGTACCGCACCGCCCTGGCGGACGAGTGGTGCGATGCAGGTGCGACAAAGATAGGCGCTCGCGAGAGGGAGAGGTGAAAGCCGCTGTCTCTGTCTCTCTCTGTCAAACAGCCAGTCAGTCAGTCAGACAGTGAATCAGTCAGTGATTCAGTCATTGAATCAGTCATTGAATCAGTCATTGAATCAGTCAGTCAGTCAGTCAGTCAGTCAGCCAGCCAGCCATTCAGTCAGTCAGTCAGTCAGTCAGTCAGTCAGTCAGTCAGTCAGTCAGTCAGTCACTCACTCACTCACTCACTCAGTCGGTCGGTCGGTACCTCTGTATCTCTTCTTCACCTCTGCCGCCCTTCCGCCCTCACCAGGTCGTACTGCGCAACGCCTCTGCGTCCCAATTCTCTCATCCTGTTTCCCGATCCCAGGAAAGCGGGAAACGGGAGAAAAAGTCTCACGCCGAGGTTCACGTTTCACGGACTGTTCAACACTCACTCGCCGCTCGCGCCGAGCTCCGCCGGGCCACGGGACGCATGGAGGGACCGCTTTGTGCCCCGAGCTCTCCAAATTGCGCGGAGAGCACGTGTCTTTTCTGTGGAAACGGCACGCCCCACGGCCCACTATAAATTCCCTCTCCCCTTAAAATCTCAAAGCAGCTCTCAAATGAATTCTTGCTGCTCTCTCTCCCTCGCCTTGCCGGCTTCACGTTCCCGTCCTCCCCCGAGCGGCGACGCAGTGACTATTCCTCCTCATGCCGTCCTCGAGCCGCCCCCATCTCTATCCCGACATGACGTCCCCGGAGACCCGCCCCGGACCCGCCCCGGACCCTCTCGGTTAAGCCGGGGCCTACCCTGCCTGTTGGCGGGCGCTGCTGGCGGGCGGGGGGGCTCACGCCGCTCACGCCTGCACGGCGGGCGCGGCGGAGGCCGAGGCGGCGGCCATGATCCTCGTCACCGCCATCATCACCCACGTCAACAGCGCCCGTAATCACCCTCGCCATCTCACGAGTGATGCCCCTCGCCCCCTGCTCCGCTCTCCAGCCGCCATTCACTTCTGTTTGCCGTCACTTTCTTGTGTTTGCTTCCCTTGTATCCCCTTTCCTTTCACTTTTCCTCGCCCCCTCTCTGTCCGGGCCGGGGGAAGAAGGCGAAGGATGATCCGCCGTCAATGCCTCGCCAAGAAACCGAAATACGGTCGCTCAGCCGAGACAGACAGCCAGGGTGAGTGAGAAGCAGCGCATCTCTCTCCCTCTCCATAGGCGTCCGTCTCCCCCACACACAACTGCAGGGAGGGGAGGACAGGGGTGGTCGCCACGGCCGGCCGTATTAGGCTGTGAGCATGGCTGAGAGCCTGTGCCGGATGGACGCGAACGGACCAAAATCGACTCGTTTACTCTTTTACGGTTTCGACGCCCGGCTAGCCCCCCCCC